TCTGCATACCATTGCAGCATTGCCACCTGTCCAGCAGTTCAAAGTCTCATCGCCTATAACTAACTATAATTTCTGGTAATCTATTTTACAGGCATATTTCAAGAGGAAATCCTGCCCTAAAATAACGTCTTGGGTGATGTCACAGACCAGTACAGGAATCTGGTATACAGCTTGTTTGAACTGTACAGGAATTTCTGCATGCCATGAATTTCTAGATCATTGCCATTTAAATCTCTTAATTTCTTTTTGACATAGTGTAATGGGATTGGTTCATTTGTATTAAGTGACTGATAAAATTGACTAGACAGCAATGTTGACGTGGAGCCGCTGTCAATGACAAAATTAGCAACATTTTTCCCAATTGATGCTGTTACATAAAATCCATTGTCCCATATTCCCAGTTCTCCAGGATAACAAAGTCTCACATCCAAAAGCTTGCAACCATCTAAAACAGGCCCTTTTTCCTCCATCCTCTCTGGGCCTACTGAGAGGATGGCCTTGCGTTTCCCTGGAACTGTCCATTGGGTCGCCCTGCCATATAAGGTCTCTGAGGTGGAGGCATGTATCTCTGATCGTTTCTCTGCATCTGTAACTTTTTTGTTCATTGGGCATTCTCTGTAGAAATGGTTTGGCCTTTTGCAAAGGAAACAAGTTCGATCTACTGTAGCTTTGTTTGAAACATTTTTCTCGAGCTTCTCAATTCTGTCCATCAATTCTTTAAACATTTTCTGGACCTCAGAGTTATTTGTCTTTGAAGTAGTCTCGGCGGCCACAACACGAACACTAGGCTTCTTCAGAGTTTGGTCTCCCAGAATGCCTTCATATCTTTCTATTACATCTTCTGCTTCTGATACAGTTTGACAATTACGATCTATACATCTGCATTTCATTTCTAAGGTAATGGTCTTGTATAATTGGTTGAGCGCTATGGCCTCTTGGGCAGTAGTGTCAGTGTCAAGCCCAATATATGCCTTTTGAGCCATTTGTCTTAAATCATCCCCCAAAGCTGCTATTGACTCCCCAGGTTGCCGTTTTCTAGACTCGAACCTCGCTAGCCACCTGTTTTGCTGCCGCAAACTACCGAATCTCTGACCCAATTTCATCAAAAGTGTCTCCTAAACATTTCCTTCAGATGTCCCCAAGCTCATAAAAAATGTACGCGCTGCTCCCCTTAAACTTGCTGACAAAGCTAGAACCTTTTCTCTGTTGTCCCATTTCCCTAATTCAGCACAAACCTGGAAGTGGCATAAATATTCCTCCCAATCGGCACTGCCGTCATACGTTTCTGGTTTCAGAGAAGGTGGGCGTCTACCAGGTGAAACAGGTCTCATCATTCTATCTACACATCTTCCATCGCATTCATCCATAACATCACCTTGACCAATATGTACTGTAGATTCCTAAATATACGCGAGGAATTAATTATCGCCTAATTACGCGAGAAGCACTACTCGCGAAATAAAAATACTTGCATTTATTTTTATGGTGCTTTAATGTATGTAAAATCTCGAGATAAATCACCCATTCGCGAATTATTGTTCTCGCGATTTGACGCCTTTGAACCATTTCGCAATATTAAGTACTCGCGTAAAATAAGGAATCTACAGTAACTCTGATTTCGATTCTTCGTCTTCACTGTGGACTTGTAACTGCTCATCACCGTCACCTCGAACGGCATTGAACTGAACTTCTTCGTCAGGAGAGTCTGCCATATTTTTTTTTTATAACCTTATGTGATTTACTTATATTTCTTTGTTTTGTTTAATTTCAGAACAAATGAAGTGTACGTTCGACCACCGGATCCCGAAAATTTTTTTTTACAGGATCCCGCCGCTGCCACCAAAATTTGTACCGTACCTGAGACTTTCAATGTAGTACTGTTGTCAACAAAATAATAACTTTTGCAAGTTTCAATTTATTTATTTGAGAGAATATTATAGAGTTTGGTACAATATGAAGTATATTTTAATACCAATAAATCTTAGTTAGTTTGTTATATTTCCATATGATTATGCAGGACAAACTTAAACGGAAGGAAAAAGGGAGGGGGATAAAAAAAATGACTGACACCCAACAGACTGTTTATTACTGTTATCTAGTTGTTATGTTTGGTGTCTAATAGAAACTGTTGCCCAAACTTACATTTTGTTTCTCTCAATTCTCAACGTGTGTTATTACCACTCGTCCCCCGACTCCAACTGGTAAATCTTAGTGTATATATATACTATTTTCACCGGAACCCCAATGTTACCAATATAAATCATGACGTAGTACCAATTTGACGTCATACCTTTGGTGACTTCTGCACCGGAAGTGTGGCTTCACCAAATGGCGATCCAGTAAACAAAACTGATTATGTAAAAATACGTTAATCTATTGAGTGCCAGCGAAAATAAATAAATCAGAACAAAGTAGAAAGCAGCAAGGGTCAATTGCAGGTATATTTTTTGTCACAAAACGAGTGATGCGCTATTTTATTGTTTATTTTCCTTGCACCATGTCACCAACACGTGTTCCAAATTCTACACGTATCCGTAAGCTGTCATCTTCGTAGTAGATACTAGTCAGCATACAAAGGTGTCATCAATCTTTTTATAATTCATGTTCATTGTATCATCAATAATCTGCACTCGTTCTAATATTACTTACTTAATTCTTGTAATTTACACAAGAACGCAACTCTGGAAAACGAAAATAGACAAAATACAAATGACCACGGACCTGCATATTACAATATTTCTTGAAAGTAATATAACGAACTCTCCAACAATCCTTGTATTTGCGTAGCGTTGTTAGGTTGACGTCATAACGTCATAGTATTATTTTTCGAAAGAAGCTATCTATATTCAGATAGCTTTGTAGGAAAATTGATTTGACATAATTAAAAAAATTAAGCCGAATTAAAAAGCAGACATCTTAGATATGTTTCAAAAAAATATTCATCAGATTTTGGGACAGGGCGGATTTTGGTACATAACGTACCTTCTTCTTTAATTCTGTCATGCATCAGCAAATATAGATGAGCTCCGATCTTTCCTGGGGCCCGTATTACAAAAGAACTTACGACTAAGATCAGAAACTTAAGTTGATTGTAAACTTTTGCAGAAATGATAATTCTGTTTGAAATTGCTAGCATAAAAATATCTTGTTAAATTCTTTTAAAAAAGATTAAAACCATTTTTAAATGAATGTAAAATAGAAAATAAGCATAATTAAATTTTGGTCTTAGTCGTAAGTTCCTTTGTAAAACGGGCCCCTGGTCACCCATCATTATTCATATTTGAGCATCTACCAGTGGATAAATATTTTGATAGCCTCAAAATCTCATCATGCAGTATCGCACTTGAAAATTAAAAAGAATCTTTAAAAGAAATAGCAAATAATAATTACATCAAAAATTAGAATAAATATAATGTAGTCTGGAAGAATTTTTGGAGTGGCTTTCAGATAGCGTAAACAAATTTTGAATTCCTCATATCAGAATATCAAGAGACTATGGTACAAAATTAAGTGTTTTAAAAGATTATTAAATTGAAATTGATGAATTCTTTTTTTAAATCACCTTTACATATATACCCTATATATTTTCCCGTTCACTGATGTATATGATTACTCTAAATCAAAATAGATGTTAAAAATTTAAAATACAGCATTTTTGAGCCTTTACTGTACATCATTTTAGTCCTTTGTATGATAAACACTAAACGTCGATATTGTCATTAAATCATTGTATGCGACAGGAAGAATATTTTCATCAATAGCATTATCTAGCCACATATACTAATACCACTCATTGTCAATACGGTAAGAATGTCACATTTATAAATATGTTCTATAATTTAAAAAATATTGCTATAAATGTACGGTTGTGTTTGAAAGATTATTTTTATATACAGTGAGTTGCATGAATGCAATTCAATATATTCATGAAATCACATTATTGTGAACAACAAATATGTATTAATGAAATTTATTACAGAACACCCATCTATGCAAAAATAAACAGCATTATAATAAAAATTTAAATGAACTATTGGAAAAGAACCACATTCATGGATTGCTTTCATAAAAACAAATCCCAAGTTCAGAAGTGTTGATACGCCTATTAAAGATTTATAATTCTCTACATGCAAATTATAAAATATATGTTGCAAAGATCTAGTCACCAGTGACAGTTGATTCCGTATCCGAGTTTTTTTTTTTTAATCCTCAACCTCCCTCTTTAAGGAAATACATCATTCTTTAATAGATGAACAGAAAGATGCTATATATGCAGAGATACTTTAAAATCAACAAATTAAACACATCACCTCTTATGTATTTACATATTCTGGTCCTAACCACTACATTTTTCTTAAACTGTCAAAAATTCAGATATCTTGTCTCTTTCATTAAATAACTGATATCTTTTTTGGTAAAACAAGGCAATGTTCGACAAATCTTTTAATTTGGTGAAAAGTGGGGAAAAAGTGGGAAAAACACCTATATAATTTTGGAAAAGTTTAAGGACTGTGAAGTTTGGTAAGTGTAATGTTTCATGGAACATTTCAAGAATCTATAACCGTTCAAGGTAGCTAAGTCGGTAGAGTGCTCGCTCCGTGATCGGAAGGTCGTGAGTTCGAATCTCAGCCGCGACTGACCTAAGTCGATTAAAAATAGGTAGCGACTGTTCCTTCGCCATGCGCTCGGCACTTTGAAGTGAAAGTTGCGGGTCCTTCGGATGAGACCTTAAAAACTGAGTCACGGCAGGCTTTGGCACGATAAAGATCCCTCATTGCTCAATGGCCCCGAGTGTCGTGTAAAGCTCAAAATTTGAAACCTTTCACTGGTATATGGTGACGTCTCAATATGAGTGAAAAATTCTCGAATGGGACGTAAAACAACATACAATCAATCAATCAAGAATCTATCTTTACATTTTACACAATAGATTTCCAAGTGAGATTTCAAATGCTAATATTTTTTAAATATAATAGTAATGATATCTTCTCTGTGGGAGATAAGAAATTAGTTTTCGATCTATTTCTATAGTGGACAGTAAATCAGCGAATTGCATAGATATATTAGTGCTAATAAGCATTGTACTGACATCAAAACAAATGTTTATCATGAGAAGAAATGGATAAGGATTTATATTTGTTGCTACATATCACTTTCCCATATAAAACACTGGAATCCTTCATTCCATCTTTTATACTTAAGAACCAGACTTAATTACATTAACTCTTTCTTTACAGACTGTCATTATTGGTTGCAGTAAATATTTTCCTCAGATGAGTCATCTTGTGCCCGGATGTAATCCAACACGACATCGTAAATCATTCTGTACTCCTCCTAAAACATCATGTTATACAGAAAACTTTATTATTTTCCTACAATTTTCATTGCACAGAGTAGTTAGACATAGAAAATGAGAAATGTACTCGATCAAATGTATATCTCTGATGTTTTAATATGATGGAAAATTACCATGGTAGAGCAAAGTTCTGGTCGTCGTATCTGTAACTGACGGACAGTAGAGAAAATGTCCACCTCCCCGTCCATAGATAACTGTTGAAGTACGTTATATACAGCACAGAACACTCCACAAAGGGCAGCGCCATCACTAATAATCAAAATCAATATGCAAGACTGAACAAACTTGGATTGTTGTTTTAGATTCAACACGGGAATAGTGAAATCCTATGTAATTTTTGTATGCGTTCTAATCTTACTGGCAATTTAAACCCTCATGCGTATAGGTAACTGCTTTAAACTGAAAGGGATGTTGACAACTACTTCAATATCTTAACTTCTCCGAGTTCTTTCTTTTATTTCAACACATTGATCATTTTAGAATGATGCATGTCTATATATAAAATAGTGTTTAATATTGTTTTGAAATGAACTTTGTTTCTTATGTAGTAGAGACGTGTACGTTATTTTAAGAGTTATCTCTCTTGGATCTTGGATGGAGTGCGCGGTTGTCATTGACAACCGGTGCTACCGTCTGGGATCCGGGCGTTCCCGCTCCGCGATCTTGGTCACTTGTTCTTTTTAGTTTTTCCAGTACGGACGTATAAATATTTCAGGAGTTTGTCTCCTTTCTTAATAGATGATTATAGTTTACAGTTATTTAAAGACAGAAAATTGCAGTAAAACTATCAGATTTTAGGTAAATATCCACTACGTTCCTTCCGTTTTGTGAGTTTCAATTGAGTTGTTTGTTATAAAGATACCCTAGACAATTTATTTTATCTATACAATAAATCTCCGTCATTTAAATCTATTTATTGTTTCTGTTTTATTCGTTTCGTTCATGACCTAGTATTTCGTGATAATCTGGGAAATATGTAATTTAACTGACCACTGTTACACTTAGAAACATCACTCCGTTTTATGTTGATCAGAAATTTAAATATCTACAGCAAGCTACGAGTAGATTCAGGCTTTGAAAAGTATGTACACCATTTTTTTTCCATCTGGACAACTATAAATTATATCAAAGTTATCAAGTGAAGATATGATTATGATGCTATTTCTCGCTGATTGTTTGTCAGGGCTTATACAGGTATTAAACTGACCATGAATACATATTTGGTATCTCTGAAAACATGACAATATTTGATTGAGGGAGGGGGGGGGGGCATTTTTTCAGTGATGTTTAATTCATTAATGAGGATTTCATTCATTCTATAAGTCAATATAAAATTTAGTTTTACCAGAAATAAAATCCTTGAGTAATCTCAGAGGTACTTGATTTAAATTACCTGCTAACTATTGTTATAGGGCCTTCTGTTTGACTCTGAAGAACCAATGAAACCAAACGTAACATCTGCGCTGTCGCCTGGGAACGATCTGTTGTTTTAAAGTTTTCCTTTGGCTCTATCACCGACACCAAGCAACTCTCGTCATTTGCCTGAAGAAATTATGCGGAAAAAGAAATTAACAGATATATTTTTGGTTTGTTTCATTGGGCTTTTGAGCTTTATTACTGTTCGATATCGCCATATATCATTTTATATAAAGAGAGAAAACCAGATGATCTAATATGGGTCATATGTTTATCATGAGAAACCTATTTCACACGTGAAAGTTGTGTTTATATACGGAAATATAATATTTGGAGAGAATATAATATAAAACAATTTGAACATTGATATTCCAGAATTAAAAATAAAATACAGGGTATATGCTTATCAAATCATGTACACGTTTGTTGCATATCTCCAAAAAAACAGACCGGGGCAAAGGGATTTGATTAACGTCCTCCGAGAAAGGCAAAAAATAATGTGGGTACTTTTTTAAAATATTTTCCGGAGGTTTTACATATTAGTGTATACACTACCGATATTCATGCATTTCTAGTTATATGTGGAACAGATTACACACCTTTCAACTGGATATTAAGTAGATTTCAGATGTTTGGATTCTTTTTATTTATAGGCTTCTTTTTATTTAGTGAATGCAATTTTTTTTTAAATGATCAAAATGTACCATGGTGGAACCAAATTCCTGACCCCGGTAACTTGAATGAACAAGCAGGAGAGCGGTTGCCTCCTGTGGGATTATATCATTTAATATAGATGCTTAGAAGACAGAAAACCTTGAAACTGGGCAGTTTTGTTATACTCATGTAACTTCTTTGTAAATGGGGGGGACTTGTCACGGTAGCATAGTAGCTTATACACTTGCATTTCAAAGCAAAGGCCTGGGATCGATTCTCCATCTCGAATTTAAGTCATATAACATAAGAAGATACTTTTTCTCTGTTTATTTTTATTCCGATTCTTTTAGCTAATAAACAAAATGGGAAACTGCATGTACATGTATTACGAATTGACAAATGAGGTAACAAAGTAATCAGGTGCAATTAGTATTCACAAATACCACAAATGCAATAAATGAACATCAACATTTTATGCGATATATCAGTCATGAAACATTAAAATGCACATTGCCCAAAAATACTACTTACTCCATTCTGAATGATGTTGATTATAGTACATTTAATTTCAGTGACTTTCTCTTGCTCGCAGTGTACAGTAAAGAGGGATAATGGTTTTGAATTGTTGGTAGATGGCAACCATTTCTTTGTCTAAATTACATAATAAACATAAATTTTTCATTTTGAGTTCTTTAAAAAAACACAGTTGATGAACATGAGCAGAACAAGACTTCATATCCACCTACTGACTCAACCTCTCTCAAAGGATCCATACAAATCACCGTTTCTGACGCATGGTCAGTGAGCAGGCGCAGGAAGTCTACAGCGTCCTCTGGTGACGGATAATGAGTTATCATAAATCCATTATTCTTGGTGTAAGACTGAGATAAAAGGTAAAGAATTCAAGTGCATTTACACTAGGAAAAATTCAGAGTCTGCATTGAATTAAAATCATCAAAATATTAATATTGCCAAGTTGAAATCAAAAACTACGAGATCTTTATCTTTTTGTCCAAGTATAATTTTTAAATTTTTTTTTTTTTAATTTAGAATCTAACTTATTTGCAGTATCCATTTTATTACGTTCTTTTTAGATTTTTATAGAAACAATAGCAAGAGCCATGATTTAATAAAAAAAAAAGTTACGTACTGATAGTGAAACCGCATTGATGTAATTGCCTCGCTTTGGTATATTTGAAGACAGAAAAAGACTGTACTTGTCAACTAGAACAAGAAATCCTCACTTTATACACCTTACTATAAAATATACTTTTTGACTTAAAATGATAAAAAAAAAGTATTTAAATGTTGTTAAGCCAAATATATGTCGTGGAATTTAATAGATTGTATGCTGAAACAATTCGCATTATAACAATGACATGAAGTACTCAAGTGCACAACCAACCAACGAACATAAATAAATAGCACTCATAGGTAAGGCACGGGTAAATTTTTTTTGGTACGAGCGAAACTTTAAGTTAGCAAATAAAATACTTAAAATGTATAAGCAAAAACATTTTGTACAAGTATGAAGTTATTAAATATAATTTGAAGTCATTGTAATAGAATCTAAAAATGAATGAACAACATAAAAAAATTGACACATTGAAGATAGAGACAATAAACAAAGGTGGATCTTATTGAAGAGAAAATTACTACATACGTATATAATTGACACAAACTATTTGATTGACATAAGCAAGATTCGTCAGTGTTGTTGCAAAGAAAAATTATATTTGGTTGAAATAAAGCACAGCATCATACAGAAAGAGAACGAATCATGATTCGTTTGCAGACTGATCAGCGAGGTCACTTATATCTATAAGCAGTAAATTAACATTCATTTTATCAACATTCATTTTAATTGAAGTAAAATAGCTTACGTGGAAGAACAGGTGATATACTTTTCCCGCTCTGTAATGCCAGCTTATAGTCCGCTTCTGTGTATGACTGTCGAACTCTTAGTAGATTCTAAAAAAAATTCGTCATGGTTGAATTATACACAAAAAATTAGTTTTTGATACTAAGCAAAGTATGAACCTTCAGCAGACTGGGATAATTACATAAACATGAAACAGATAATTTTCTAAGATTATGTCATGTATGTTAAAAACAGTGTTTCACATTATGATTTCTTGATGCCAACCCTTCCCTAACTCCATTCCCTGATGTTTAAAATTACCTGAAACTGCATTCTTAGTTCACTTTCATTGGCTGGTTTATCACGTGTCATTAACTCTGCTTTCCTTAAGAATTCAGGTTTGGTGTATACACAGGTTGGAGCTTTGAACATTGCGTCAAGTGCCAGAAATATAGTAATATACTGCTCCTAAAAGATTCAAAAACCATTCTACCCAGCATGTGTATAATTCCGATATGCTTAATATATATTTTTACGAATAACTGAGACTTTATTCCTTTTTAAGGTTACCGGAGTCACTCAGGTGACCTATTGCTATCTGTTTTCGTCCGTCGTCGTGCGACGTCCGTCGTATGTTAACATTTGTACATTTTCAGCTTCTTCTCTGAAACCGCTGAACCAATTTCAGCCAATTTTAGCATATAGCATCTATGTGTAAAGGGAAACAAAATTTGTGAATTTCATGGTCCCTGCCCCCCTGGGGCTTGAGGGGTGGGGCTAAAACCACCAAATTTAATGCAATCTTTAAAAATCTTCTTTTTTACTCCTGGACATCAAGCAGTCAAACTGTTGGCATGATTGTAATAAGCATTGAGCCCTCTACCAAAATTGTGAAATTCATGGCCCCATGGTCAGGGGTTCTGGTGCTAGGGTGGGGCTATATAGATCATATAGTGAAAGTGCATTATTTCTTTGAAAATCTTCTTCTCTACTCCTGGGTATTATTGAAACACATTGAATACATACATGTAGTTATGATAAGCAAGGATGACTCTACCAAAATTGTGACATTCATGGCCTCAGGGTCAGGGGTTCTGGTGCTAGGGTGGGGCTATATAGATCATATAGTGAAAATGCATTATTTCTTTGAAAATCTTCTTCTCTACTCCTGGGTATTATTGAAACAAATTGAATACATAGTTATGATAAGCAAGGGTGACTCTACCAAAATTGTGAAATTCGTGGCCTCGGGGTCAGGGGTTCTGGTGCTAGGGCGGGGCTATATAGATCATATAGTAAAAATGCATTATTTCTTTGAAAATCTTCTTCTCTACTCCTGGGTATTATTTAAACAAATCAAATACATAGTTATGATAAGCAAGGATGCCTTTTCCAAAATTGTGAAATTCATGACCCCAGGGACAGGGATTCTGGTGCTATGGTGGATCTATATAGATCCTTTAGTGAACGTGAATTATTTTTTTTTTTTTTGAAAATCTACTTCTCTGCCCCTTGGTATCATTTAAACAAACTAAGTACATTGTTATGATACGCAAGGATGCCTCTTCCTAAATTGTGAATTTCATGGCCCCAGGGTCAAGGGTTCTGGTGAAGGGGGGGGGGGGCTCTATTGAATGTGTAGTGAAAAAGCAAAATTTCTTTGAAAATATTTTTTCTGTTTCTGGTTAAAAAGCAAAGAAGCTAAGTATATACACTGTAGTAATGATGAGCAAGAGTACTTCTTCCAGAGAAGTGAATTGCATGACCCCTGGGTCAGACATGCTTGTGTGTAAAGGTGGGACTCTTGACAATATAGTGAAAATGCATTAATTCTATTAAAAAATCCTGTCTGCTCCTTAGTGTTAAACTTCTGGTCCCAGGGTGAGAGGCTCTGGTGTTTCTCGGTGGGGAGGGGAGGGGGCTCTATTGATAATATAGAATCTGTAGTAAAAATGCATCATTTCTTTAAAAATCTTCTCTGCACCTGGGCATATCAGAGGCAAAACGAGTAAAAGTTTTAATAAGGAAGGGTATTTTTACCAGATTTTTGAACATCTGGACCATTTGGTCAAGTGTTCTGGTCCTGGCCAGGGCTCTATTAATTTGTATTCTACTGAGAGGAGTTATTCCCCTTTGCCATTTACTTTTTGATAATTAATCACTGTAAATAATGTACTTGAAAGGTTAATAGAATAAGAGAATTATGCAAGAATTTTTATTGCATAACACAAAAAGTACTTTCATAGTTTTAATGATCAGATAGACTTGTAAATAATAGATAATTTATGAACTGTTAATGAATACTAGACTAATTATTTTGTTGATCCTGATCACCCTATTTTTCTTGCTTTTAGGCAACAAAGCTTCGCCTTTCAGTTCATTTTATACTCTATGGATTCTCTGAATTGTTGTATTATACTCAGGTGACCATCAAGGCCCTAGGGCCTCTTGTTTATAAATTATCATCTGGCAACAAAATATATTGATGGAATAATAAATAATTTTGAGCGGAGAGGAAATGCTGAAGTTAAACTTGACTGCTAGCAAATTTTGTAACTTTATGACTTAATATTGTAACGTGTATGTAATTCACTTGAAACTTGCCACAAATGGACTTATATGCTTACTAACGCAAGTTTACTCACATATGTCTGAACCATGTTCATTCTATTTTCCCTCATTTTCTTCACGTATTCCGCGATGTTGACTTTCCTCTCTGATTCGCCTTCCTTATATAAAGAGTCAATAGCGATATATGTCCCTGTACGACCGATTCCAGCACTAGAATTATCAAAAGAACTTTTGAAAAAAATAAAAATAAAAACTCTATAAAATTAATAAAATCTTTATAAAATGTAAGATAATTACAACCAACATATCATTTAACATTAATGGTGTTGATACATTTCAGTAGTTTTCATTCGTTTTTGTTTTGTTTTGTTTTTGTTTTTTGTTGGTTTGTTTTTGTTTTGTGTTTTTGTTTGTTTTTTTTGTGTTTGCAACAAATGTGCGGTTTAGATGTTTTCCTATGTAAGGAATAAGATGAAAAAGTTGAAGACAGTTTTGTATTTGCTTAAAACAAATGTATCTGTCCATGATTAAATTTCCTATAACGACGTTTGAGTACTGTAAAGCATGGTAGTATTAAGTCTATGAGGTTTAGGAGTAATCATATTTTTCAAACCTGCAGTGTACTAATGTTGGACCACCATTTTGTTTATCTTTTGTCCTTGTCACCTGGTCATGGAAAACTACTAGACAGAGCGGTTCCGGGGTCCCGTGATCCGGCCAGGCTGTGTAGTGATACTGAGTTACCATGCGAGATTTTTTTATCTGATGGTTAAAAAAAAATACAATTTTCTTTTGGAATAAGTATTTAGCATGTATATACATTCAATTAAACAGAAATCCAATTTAGATGTAGAGAAAATTTCTGTAGAGTTATTAATATTTCTTGTGATAATTTTTACATGCTAAAACATAATGGTTATTAGTGAAAAGGAAAGATTTGTTCATTAGATAAGTAAACGATTGATGTTTGGAGTAAATGTGATCGTTTTTAAATGTGCTGTCAGTACTACTAAAACATTCATTAAAAATAGAATTAATATTTTTTTTTATAAAATGGTGTTTCAGATAATAGTTTGCAGACTTATATGCATGAAATTGCCTTTCATTATAGGGGCAGTATGTCCCCTTATCTTAAGCAAAAATAATCCCCAAAACAAGTATTAGTTGTAACTACTTTTCAAATAAATTTCGGAAACTTTGCCTATAAAATAAAGTCATATTTCTATTTAAAAAAAAAGACAATTCAAAACATAATTTTATGACTCACCCCTTTGTAGGTTACTCTAAATTTCCTGATTTTATAATTGGCATAGCTTTGCTCTTCTTCCGTGCATAGCGATATTAAACCAAAGGCACTAGATTGATTCAGATCTGGCCAGTACTTGGTGCATTTTATCTGTTAGGTAAAAGAAGGTTTATCTTAGATTGAAGCGTTACAAAACTCGAAATTTTCACTCAGGTTTCCAAATGACATTGAATTTTGATATCTGCTATTGCAAAGCGAAGTACATATTATCCAATGATAACATACACATTTTAGTATATGTACATGTATGCCATTTTATGCATTTAATGTATCGAATTCCCATATCACTTTCCGTAACTTTTCAAATTAAAATCAAATTACTTTGTTCCCTTCTTTGAGGTTGGTAAGCATAACTATTTGGGTGACATTCTCCTGCCAAATCATGGACCAGAAATCTGTCAGTGTGTTTTGACGAGGTCCTGTGTCAACGAGAACAAAAGAAATGTGTATGAAATTGAAACATGAGTCTATATTTGCCGTCACTTGTTCTTAAAGTGTCTTAATATAGTACATGTAGCAATGAAGGGAAAGAAAATATTGTACCTTGTGCTGCAATATATTCATCTGGCTTCTTTGTACCCTGAAAAAAGGCATCATTATATAGAAAATTTATATAGAATTGCACCCTAAGAAATATCCCTATTCAGAAGAGTACGATGTGACACATATAGAGGTAAATGTATAATTGATTATAAAATCTGGACTATGGCAGTTTATGTCTTATGTTTTCACAATAAAATTATCTGCAAATTAAGAAGAGAAATGTAGTTACTCGAGTTATTTTTGTGAAATGAAAAATGATATGTATAGACCGCCATTATATGACCTTAACTAAAGATATCCGATCCTCTGTAGTTAAGTAATTAAACATGCTCACAAAATGTCTCTGAATTTACAAAGTAATGTGTATTTGCCCATGGTGTCTCCTCAAAGTTCACCAATGCAGTTAATCATATTATATATATATAAAGAAAATTATGAAATCTCATATAAATTTGCAGGAAACACATATAAAAACGCCAGCTTTGCGTTCTCTTATTGAAAATTGATCAATAAATATATTTTAGGATTACAAAATTACACTATATAGGTATCAAGGCATTCGGAGAAAACTGCATTGTTGTACTTGTACCGTATTTTAGTTCTTCTGATTTGCTTCAATTTTTGTAAAATACATGGAGTAACAAGAATAGATATGGGTTACCCCATATCCAAGATATTCGACTTTTAATTTATTCGAATTTTCATTGTGTTCCGATGATTTCTAATAAAAAAACAAGTATTTACTGACAAAACGTCAGAGATACTCAAGCTGTAGAAAGTCAACTATAAAACTGCCATATACATAAATATCCTAAAATGACATAATATTTAGGCTACTGAGTTTCAACATCTTTTGTTGAGTAAAATATGCATATACATGTAGTAGGAAACAAACTGCATGTACATATATAACGTTACATGCATGTAGTGACTTTATCACAGAGTTGCACATGCATAAAAATAGTTTTAATTTCACATAGAACATAAACTAAATATAATTAATCGTATAATTTTAAAAATGTATTTAACGCCTCACTCATTTTCAGGAATATTTAATCCAAATAGCATGTTACAGGCCTATAGCAACGTTTTCAAAGTGAAAGGGGGGGGGGGACTCCCAAAAAATCCCGCGTACTGTGGGCCTGTGCTACATGTGTACCATCTAACTTTCCAATGATAGAATCTTCTGTAAAAAAAAAATTCAAAACAAGTCCAAGCCGTTATGGATTATCAAAGATAGCCCATTTTTATAAATAGCAAAACTATAGATCTATCAAGGATAGATTTTAATTTATTTTTTGATTTTGTGCTATTAAAAAGTACTATCACTCAAAGTATAGGCAGATGTTAAAGATGGTCCAACCTGTCACCTTGTAGAGTAATCAATGAACTCGTCCAGTGATGCATTGACGGCCGTTGTCAAACGCAAAGGAAAGCGCGAGATCGGTTGCGGCTATGGAGCATCACTGAATATTCCTCCACCATATACTGATTTTGAATATACAGACGTTTTGAAGATAAACTTCATTTTTGTTTCTAGAAATGTTTTTATTTACAAAAATAGTACATTTTCGTGTTAGATCGATGACCATAACTCAGCCCCTCTAGCCCAGTCTAGGGCTTCACCTGGAGTAAAAAACCTGCACTTGTTATGAAACTGGTGTATAGTTCTAAACTTCTTTATGTCCGTAGCAAGTACTGATACCCAGTCTACTGATCTAAGCGTCACTAGGGAACGGTGCACACACCTGTTCTTGCAAGACCAAATAGCCTAGGTCTACACACGTGCGAAGATCTTTCCGAGCTCGGAAAATCAAGTTGCTTTGCCGAGAAGTGTTTAACCATAATAACCATTCCGTTATTTAAAAAAAGAGAGAAAAAAAACACACACAGTTAATGATTAACATTCTAACTCAAAAGAAAATATACGGCAATTAACGAACAATAATCATGACAGTAATATAATTGGTGAAAAGATTTATCATTATCAATGGAAGTGTGACCTATATATTTTCGTGAAAAAGACTGAGGAGGCAGCGAGCGTAGGAATATGAAAACTTTTTATTTGCTTTTCTGGGGAAAAAGTGATTTTCTGAAAATCTTTTAACGTTAATTTTGTTTTCTTTAACGTATTAAATATACATGATTATTCTTAATATTTGTTGTAATGTTTTATCTACTGATCATGAATGGAACTATTTTCTTCGGAACAATTGTGTGAAGAGTACCTGACTTTAGTAATATATCTTGAATAGATAATATGCACTGATCGAATATATTAAAAAGCATATGCTATCATTGCAAGACATCAAAAATCACTTCTTATTTCATATCAAGAAATAAGCACTGGTATCGAAGCCTATATTAAAGGAAATTCAATTTCTCTAAAAATGTTTTTTGGGGTACAAATGTCAACATTTAAAAAGACTGTTTCTTAGACTTCAAAGAACAGTGAATCATATTAAGATGCATGAAATAAAAATTGTTGCAACAAAAAACTTCAATTTCAAGCTTAATTTTGAGACTTTTTAAAAGAGAAATCCAATGAGAATTTTAAGACTTATTGTTCCTGGAGGAAGAGCGGATATCTTTGTAGACTATCCTTTCAAATAAATACCTCAATAAAATTGGCATTGATGTAGTCTGACTGGCTGTTGGACAATTTGACTCTGGAATGATCGTCTGAAAGTATTAATTTTCAATTGTCAAAAATTAAGCATAATATATAATGCTTAACATATTTAGATTGCTAGACATTAAAGTTTGCATACCTTTACAACATTGAATAATTCTCAGGCATGATAAGAAATTACATTGACCTTATTTGTAATATCTTTGTCAAAGAAAAATGATGATTTGGAAAAAAAAATATGTGTTTTACAGTAGTTTTATTTTATTAATAAGAAATTTTGCAAGAAGATATTAAACGTACAAGGAAATGTTGTCTTGAATCTGTTCTTTGGTACGTTTTCTGGTTGTTTTCCAGCGTTGCAAGGGTACTTCTCACCATAAGGCATGGCCTATTATACAAATCAAATACTTAAATCAAAATAAAATAAAGATTTAAGAAATTTTTACACAAAAATTTCCTTACCGCATACTCTCTTTTGAAGCCATCATCTTTATTTTTTCGTTTTTCCTTAATAGTACTCTCTAAATCTTCGATATTTATATCTGGGATAGTTTCTTCGTTTATATAGAAATCTCCGTATGGATTTTCGTCATGTAATTTCTCATCGTTATCAATATCATCGTCGCGCTCATTGTTTCTTGTTTTCGGTTCTTTGCTGTGTTTATTGGAAATACTGTTAGAGTCCTTTTTCTCCTTTAAATATGACGTTCCTTCCATATTCTCATAAATATTTCTTAAACCTTCGTTTACTGGTTTTGAGGGTGCTTGAATTAACAAAAACACATTTTTACAGTAAATGAAATCGAATTCAATTATGTTGTTAAATTTCAAAATCAAGTGTAATTAAAGATGTTTTCCCCAGTATTTAACAGTACATCTTAACTTTCTTAATTTGAATATTTCATTTTAATTAAACTCTGTTCGACACTAACGTTTTCGTGATAGGAAAACCCTGTGATATATGACTTACTATTAATATCAGATAGGTTTGTTTCTGCATTCATTGTCCTTTTGTCTGCATTACTGGCTTTCAATGTCCGTGTTCTGCAAGTACATATGTACTTATTACTGATTATACTTATGCATACTGTAAAATCAGATATTTTCGAGGGTGTCAAATTTTCGAGGTTTGAGGACAATATTATGGTTTGTGGTGATTTGATTTCGAGGTGAGAGAAGTGTTGAGTAGTTATGTATATGAAATTTTACATTTCTTGGTGGACATGAATTTGTTGGTCGCTCCATACCTCGAAAACATCAGAACTGTATACTGTGAAATCACTAAATTTCACAGTATACAGTTCTGCTATTGTATAAAGCACACATTCAATAGATTAGTTGAGGGAATAAAATAGTAGTCTTAGAAACCTTTTTATGTTCTAAACAACCTGCATTAAACTATCAACCTATATAAATGAATTTAATATACAGCGATATAACCGAAAGCTCTTTTATACATACTTTATATTTACATTTGCAAATGTTTCCCTAAAATAATACTATTTTGAACGAGTCGTTTTTACGCATGTGTAAAAACAGGTTTGTCGTGTAACCATAAATTGATTGTTTAGTCATAAACGATCTACGTAATTTCATAGTGACGCCATAAGTGATCGACGCGTTCAAAACATTCAATTCATACCGTTGAAGTTTGAAGAAAATAAATCAATTTATGGGTTTAAAAATTTAGGACCCAACTTTGTCACAAATGTAAATAAAACAAGTTGCTCTCTTTTAAAAAAAGACTACAATACGTGGACCATATGCATGTGTTTCTAAACGAAATTCAAAGAAAATTTCTGGATTTAATGATTTTATAAATTAATTTGTAATTAAATTCAATTTTTTTGTACAAGTATCTTTTAATTTTTATCGTTATATAAAACTGGTTAATTAGTCTGTAATGGTAATAAATTATGACCTCTAAATGATATGATATGAAATGCTGATCTAGGTATCTATCACAATTGAAATGTAGCCTTTAAAATTAACAACAGAATTAAAAGAGGCTTAAGCGTGCAGGTGTCGTAATGGTTGAATTTTAACTCCATTTTAACTCTATTGGCGGATCCAGGGGGGGGGGGGGGGTGCGGGTGTTTGAACCCCTTTATTTTTGCAAAAAGAGGAAGAGAGAGAGAATGTTTTTTTCTGTAATATAGATATTTTTACGTCTAGTATTTTCAATGAAATAAGTACTAAGTACTTCAATCTCTTCAATAAGTGAAATATATGGAGATAACGAACAGTATTCAAGCTCAAAAGTCCATTATACAATACAAAATAGGAGCAGAGCAAACACGGACCTCCAAACATCAGAGGTGGGATCAGGTGCCATGGAGGAGTGAGCATCCCCTGCCGACCGGTCACACCCGCCGTGTGCTCCTTGTCATGATCGGGAAATAACGGAGAAATCCATCGACAATTCAGTGTGTAAATAATGGCCTAACAATTAGTATGAAAAACGTCAGTCAGCATTTGACTCAATGATAAATTGTATTTGCTGACAAGGTCATTGTATCGACCATAGAACTTACGAAATGATGACTTTAAACGAGACAGCTGATATTCTTGTTTCATCAACTTATTTGTCAATAATTTACCTCGTTTTAGAAATTGTACATACGTAGAGCATGCTCTTGCGTATCGAATCAACTGAGAGATATATACCCCGTATGCAGGTGATGAAGGTATATTGCTGCACAAGTAAGGGAAGTTGACGATTGAAAAGTTAAAGTCATCACGTTTATCATAAAGCTTGGTTGTTAGATTACCATTAACGTCTTTTTCAAGTAAAATATCCAAATATGAAACAGATGTGTCAGACTCTGTGGTATCTTTTATCTCAAGTTCACCAGGATATATCGTATCGACATAAGAATGAAAATAGCCATTGTTAATTGACAATACGTCGTCGATATATCTAAATGTCGAGTTGAACGCCACAGCAAGTGTTTTCTTCTTATCACGTACAAGATTTTGGACAAATTCTGCTTCATATGAATACAAAAAAAGGTCTGCTAATAACGGGGCGCAATTGGTACCCATAGAAATTCCAATAGACTGTTGGAAGACCTGGTCTCCAAAAACCACATAGATATTGTGAATCAGAAACTCAAGCATCTTTTTAATGTCAACTTCAGAGTACTTGTGTGTACAATCAGAAAGTTTTTTAACAAAATAATTTTGCAAATGACCAATGACAAGGTAAGTATATTTACGAGTTCCATTTTTATTGAAAAAGCAGCTGTCAATGATACCAAAAAGCCTGGACTTTAATTTATCGTGCGGAATGGTTGTGTATAAAGTTGAAAAGTCGTAAGTTTTTAAGCTGTTGATTTTGGTAAAATCTTGTGATTTCAAATTTTCCAAAAGTTCCTTGGAATTTTTAAGTATCCACATCTGATTTACACCACTTCTCGAATATATTGTTGCACAGTACTCTTGAAGTTTCTCCTTCACCACTGTTAATATCTTAGTGAGGAGTAAAGATAGAGGCTTGGTTGAACATTTACTGGAACCCGCTATGTATCTTTGTTTGTAAGGATTTTTATGAAGTTTCGGAATCCAATATAAATATGGTAATTCTAATTCATTTTGGTTGTTTGGAATATTAAAAATATTCAAAATTGACATATGATTTTGAAGAATTTCTTCCTTAGAAAGGGAACTATGAGTATAAGTTGGATTACCACTTGTAGAATTAAATCCAAGTTCCTTTAAAATACATTTAATATAATGAGCCTTACAAACAAAGACAATGTTGTTACCTGCTTTGTCAGCAGGGACCAGTACGTACTGATCATGTAATCTATCTAATTCTTTTTTCACTTCTGGATTATTGAATACAGAAGGATAGATGGTTTTCATATTGCCTCTCAATCTTTTAGTGCGCGATTTTAACACACATCTGATACATTTAATCCATTCTGACAAAGTGTCAAGGTCTTCTTTTTCATGTCTGGCCCATCGCCTGGCGTAGTCCTCTACAGAATCCATAATATTTATGAAATTCTTACGCCAGTTGAAGGATCTGGGTTCCCTAAATTTAGGACCTTTTAAAATTAGTGATCTAAGGTCCTCATTTTTAACTATATTTAGTCACCAGTAATAACGTGTCCAGCAGGACTATAGTTATAGGGCGAAGAAGAACATGGACACGATGGAGGATTATGTTTCAGATATTCGATATCCAGGCCCTGTAAAGTTTTCTTGTAATTAAAAAGTTTGGAAGCAATAGTCGATGTATATTTGTAGGAAATACAAGGTGTAGTCTTTAACTTGAAATATGGTGGAATACAAGACTGGACCCTTTTGTGATTAAGAATATTACTTAAATTAACCGCGTCAATTCCTTTGTTGGCATATTGAAGTTTAAGGAAAAAACGGATTGTTTTAGCTGCATTTTCTTCAGTAAAACGCAGGGGTTTAAAAAGCCTATGATTGGCAATATCCATAACTACAGATCCGAGCCTGTATTCTCACTACTGGACTTAAAATTCCCTGATATTCTGAAAAATCTCTGATAAACTCTGATATCCACTGTTTAAGTACTGCTTTTCTCTGTATAAACACTGTACAGTCACTGTACAAAATCCCTGTGCCTACTGTAATCCCCAGTAAATCACAGTACAAACCCACTGTTATTTTCTATACATCCCTGTACTTTACTGTACGTCCCCTCTGTACGGCCCAGTACACCACTGTCTGTCCTTGTACGCCTGCACAGTACAGTACTGTACATCACAGACGTGTACAGTACTCAACTTCTGTACAGCACAGTACACTACTGTTGCTCACTGTACGCGTCCCAGACTGGCACTGTACATCACTGAAGTTCAATGTACGCATCCCAGTTTGGCACTGTACATCACTGAACCATACTGCGAATATTTTAGACTTATTAAATGAATGAAATTTAACTTTTGAATTTCCTAAATTTTATTCTTCTCTTATTACTTCTCTAATTGTTAAGAAGCCTTTGGTATTTTAGATTTAAGCGAATAAAATATTTATTTCAAGAGTGATAAATTTGTGCTGTTAGTACACTTAACACACACTAGCAACATACATAAAAAGTAAAAAATAAATCCTATAAATTATATTTAAGATCATTTAATTGATAATTATGATTCCTCTAGTCTTAAAGTTTTGAATTTACTGAGCAATTAAATTATACATAATAATTATCATTCATAGTATTGAACAATTTTAACGTCACATTGTCATTTTCCATAGTTCGATAATGCGGTTAACAACCTGATTTGGTAGGCAAAGTTACATGTTAAGAAAAATTTTGAAACATTAGACTAAGTATATTATATATTTTTAAAATATTTTTTATGAAAAAAATCAAGTCTCTCTTTCTCTCACTCATACATTTACCCTGTCAATTTAATTATTTTTCACCACGGCTTGTGATAAAAAAAACAAAACCTAATTATTGTTTGAATTGACTTTGTCAATACAAATAAAATATCAAAAAATGAAAAGAATGATTCAGTGGGTAGGGTCGCTTATCATGGTTGTGGGTTAACGTGTACACCCAACAGAAAATGTATACCAAACAGGAAAACGGTGGATTAAACAGCGGACAGTAGCCATAGATTTAAACAATAGGTTTCAAGACTGAGTGTCCTGATATATCAACAAGGGGTGGTTACACAACGACAGGAAGCAATATATTTATAATTTCTTGAGAGCTTCAAACTTAAGATATTTTTGAATTAATAGAAACGCAAATTCAAACACAGATTTAGATTATACGTATTGAGACGTTTATTTTGATATCCATAATCAAATAATTAGATATCAAAAAAACTTCAGAATACTTTCATTATTTGAATTATTTATGAAAAATTATATTTTTATTTATTTATTCATTTATTTATTTATTTTTATTTATCATTTGGATTGTAATTTTTTTTCTCTTTCTCTAAGTCTTCAAATATAATAGCAAACAAACAACAAACTTAAGGGAGTTATTTGAAATTTTAATATTAATAATAATTATTATAATTATAATATTAAATTAGGACGAAAAAAGT